GAAAGCTGCCGATATTGTTCCAGGGTGGAAGCGAAATACGAGCTGCTGACTCCGGTCGCAAGACAAATTACAACATCAACATCGGCTGATCGAGACCCGTGGAGTGATGATGAAGTCAGGAAAGACCAGCTGGAAGACCGCGACATTAAACCCATACTTGATTTAATAGAGTCATCAAACAGAAAACCTACATGGCAGGACATTTCTATCTGTAGTCCTACAACAAAACAATACTGGGCTGGGCACTCTGGGATTCACTTCACATTCGAAACGGCGTCTTATACCGGAAATTCGAGTCGGATGATGGGAAGACGTTCCGATGGCAACTGATACTTCCAAGATCCCGGATTCCTGATGTCCTCAAAGAACTACATAACAGCCCTACAGGAGGTCACTTTGGAATTATGAAGACCTTACAGAGAGTTCGTGAGCGCTTTTACTGGAATAATGCAAAGAATGACGTGCAAAAGTGGTGCCGATCTTGCGATGCCTGTGCAGGTCGGAAAGGACCGAGGAAACGCAGCCGAGGCAGACTGCAACGTTACAACGTAGGTGCGCCTTTTGAACGTATCGCCTTTGACATCCTGGGACCTCTGCCACGAACTGCTGATGGCAACAAATACATACTCGTTGTCATTGATTACTTCACCAAGTGGCCTGAAGCTTATCCTATTCCTGATCAAGAGGCTGTCACAGTAGCTGAGGTAATGATACAGCACTGGATTTCCAGGTTCGGAGTGCCTCTTCAGTTACATTCCGATCAGGGAAGGAATTTTGCCTCGGCAGTAATCAAAGAACTATGCAAACTACTCGGCATTGACAAAACTCAAACGACGCCATTGCATCCCCAGTCGGACGGCATGGTAGAGAGGTTCAATCGAACCATCCTTAATAACCTCTCATTAGTGGTTTCCAGAAACCAACAGGACTGGGACAAGAAATTACCACTCTTTTTACTGGCTTACCGCAGTGCTGTCCACGAGACTACCGGCTATTCTCCATCACAGATGCTCTTCGGTCGTGACCTTCGTCTGCCTTGTGATCTATTGTTTGGCCGCCCTCCGGATGCTCCTTCATCGTCTGAGGAATATATTCAAGATCTCCAGGCCCGGTTTGAAGTGATGCACAATTTTTGCACGAGAGCGAGTCAACTTGGCGACGGAGAAGATGAAGACCCGATACGACACAAGAGCTACTGAACATCAATTCCACGAAGGAGACAAGGTGTGGTTGTGGAATCCGACTCGACGGAAAGGACTTTGTCCGAAATTACAGTCACCTTGGGATGGGCCCGTACACAGTCCTAAACAGGCTGAATGACGTCGTGGTTCGGATTCGTAAGTCTTCGAACTCTAAACCTAAAGTCGTTCATTACGACAGGTTAGCTCATTACTATGGCCATAGTACGTAATGTAAATAATTGTAAATAGTATAAGACCATGGTCCTTTTTGTTTTTAAATGTGTATTTGATTTGATTTGTATTTGTATTTGATTTGCATTTGATTTGTTTTTATTTTGCATTTATTGTTCATGTTGTTTATTATGTAATGTAATGCTTATTAATGCATGTTATTTATGCCACAGTTGTAAGTTTAGCTTCCTGTCCAGGGATTGTACTGCCCGGGACGTGCAGTCCTTGGGAAGGGGGCAGTGTTACGAATTTGGTATTTAAAAAGCTAATGTTAGTTCAATTATAAATTAAATGGTTTTATTTCTCGCGCAGTGCAGCGCGTGACGAATATTAAAAGAAAGCTAAGCCGGAAAATTGAAAATACAAGAGCGCGTGCATTAAATAAATAAATATCTCTTTTTGATTTCGAGAAAGTACTGGAAAATTCTAGCGCGTGATTTTAAAATCTTATAAAAGGAGGAAAACATCTCAGTTTGTAGTAGTTGCTTAGTTTGTTGTTGTTTAGAAAACTGCTCTTGTTGATTGTAGCGAATTCGCGGATTAGCGTTCTTTAGCTGTTTTGAATTACGTTCTATTGGACATTTGAGTAGTTAAAAGATAACTACTGTGAGATATTGTAATACTGCATGATAATTTGAGAAAATTTAAGCATTTTTGTTGTGATAATAATAAATTTTTGTTCATTTTTCATCGGACTTGTGCATTCATTTCATAACGAACCCGTACGCACGCAACAATACATTTTCTGAGAGCGCAAAAGCAGAGTTTAAGTCTAAGAAGGACTAACCCACTAGCAAAAGTGAATAAAAATCTTAAAGATCCAGATTTAAACAGATAAAACTACTATATGGATTCACTTATTTATTGCAATAACTTAAACTATTATGACTCTTTGTGACCTCTCTTTTCGACTTACACCAGAGCATATCTGTGATTGTCGACATACACCGGTGAGGGTCCGAATATACAAGAATGTAGTGCAATATCCGATCTTTCACCAACGTATTTGGTGAATGTTAACATTCTCCGGTGAAAGTTGACATTCTTCAATTTCGGTCTTTCACGGCAAAGTTTAAAACGTTCTGTAAAATGCCTAGGCATTGTATAAAATACCGGGTGTTTTTAGCCAAAGTATGAAACATGATAATTATTACATACCTTCCATCGGAATGACAAAGGCTTCGTAGGCAAAGTACGAAATAGAATGACAAAGGCTACTTAGGCAAAGTACGAAAAAGGTCCTGATAAGGCTATCATATAAATGACATGCATTACCCAAAAATACGAATGTTATTATAAAAAAATAATGAGAGTGCCATTAAAAATATTCAAAATACGTATGTTGAATTATATTTCCTTACATTTTCCCCGCAAGGACATTTCGTATTTTTACACATACATTTGACGAATCATCGCGGCTTCCACTGGACTGAACACTTGCAACTGACCGGAGAGGAATTTCGTGTTGAGGAATATCTTCGATTCTAAGCAATTTCTAAAGTGAATTGTGATCTCACATGCATTTGTTTTAAAATTCCTTCAGAAGTTCCAAGTAAGTAGAAACTATCCTCTGTCACATTCATTGCGACTACAAATATATTGCTCGAATCCCCCCGCCCCTTTTCTTCGTCAGGAACAGGAACTCCTTCAGTAGTCCCCAAAGAAGCAGTGCGATTTTTTTTCCGAATTATTTTTTTATTTTTGGTTTTTGTTTTCAGATTTATATTAGAATTTATTTTACTTTCAATAGCATTTTCAGTTTTGAAACAAATGGTGCACAAAATATCCATTTCATCATTTTACTAGCATGATCACAGAAGGTTTGAATATTTCTATAACACTTTTTGTATGCAAATGCATGACTCGTTTCCTTTAAATACACAAATAGGTATCAGAAACGGAAATCTCTTCGCTAAGCATGTCTTCATCATGTTGTCTTAATCCACTAACATTTATAATTTCATTCATGTTTTTTGCAACAGGCTCTTTTTCTTGCATAATCTGATTTAGTTTCACCTTTTTCCATTGCCTAAGTGCTTTCCATTACTTTTCCTAGCTGCTTCTCTGTATTTATATACGAGTCAGAGATGTATTTCATACTTTCCCGGTTTCTTATTTGGCATTGCATAGAATGCCTAAGAAGTGTGTGAAATATGAAGCGTTTCATATATTGCCGACTAGATTTAGATATTATATACAATGCCCATATATACAATGCATAGGCATTATATGCAGTGCTTATGCCTTCTAAAGAATGCCGGATTTCAAACTTTGCCGATAATATATATATATATAGAGAGAGAGAGAGAGAGAGAGAATGTGTTAATTGGCTCATATGATTCATTTTAAAAGCAAAATACTTCATTTGATGACATATGTAACGGAATTAACCGAAAAGAGGTTTTGACTAGTGCTAGACCCTGTGCTTATCGTTAGTATTCATTCTTCTAAATTATTTTTAATAAAGCTTATTATTAAAAAAGGCTATTTTTTTCTGTATTTCATTCTTAAAAATAATCTTCTTTTTTTTTTTCTTAATTCATTCTTTAAATTTATTTTGGTTCGTTTCTTTTTTAGCACTAATACACTGACGATGAAATTGTAACTAATTAATACAAGTTGTATAACTTCCTCATAGCTTTATTAAGTTTTAAAAATTGTGATTCTTGAAATTACTTTATTATTTTCTAAAGAGTTATTTCAGAACGTGTGATGAAGGTATTATATCTAAACGTTAAGAAAATTAATTTTTCAAGATTTGTTTGCGATTGCAGATGCATCAAATATAATCCTGTGTTTAAATTTATATATAATCCAGAATTTATTTTGACAAAAATAAAACATTAGTGATTAATGCGTCAATAACCATTAGAAAATTCTAGTCTACATGGCAATGTACTGAAATTTAAGTTTTGAGGAATATGTAACAGTTATAATATTCTTCTGCATATTTGTAGTTTTTTTAATTATTTGCATTCGAAATTTCTTACTTTAGAAGCACGAGTACGTCCTAACGTCAAAACATACGCAGTTTTGAATAAATTTCAGATAAAATTTTGAGTGCGATTAATAAGTCAAATTTTGTCAAAAAGAAATTATTTCTCATCATTAGTGAAATAAAATGAGAATTTTCCATAATCCCTAACTGTGGTCAATATTTGCTGTAGTTATTTTGTTAGTTTATTATTGAGAGCCTTGATTGCTCATTTCCAGTACTATAGAAAAAGCATTAATGAATGCTTAAACATTTTTATCTACACTGTGTTCGCAAATAACACTGGAATTACCCCTGTGTAAATTGGAATTATCCATGAATGTAAAAAAAAAAAAACTCGAAATTTTATTTAAAGTTTTAATATATTTTTTTTCTTAATCACTTGCTTGTTTTCTCGCATAATGAAAGAGGATAAATATACAAATTCGACATAAAGACATTTTACGCTGTCACTTTGTTTCGGCTAGCTATTCTAATAATGCTACTGTAAATAGCACATCCACGATGTTTGTGCTATCTGCAAAATTAAGTTGTTTAATATTTTTCATATGTAAACAAAAGCTTTCGAAACAGTGATGTTTAATATATTCTAGGAGATGTATGGGACATAGACTCTAGCCCTATCATCTTCACTGCAATTGCTGTTGCGGGTAGTGTAATTCTAGTTGGCTTAATAATCACACTTGTGCTCAAGTTACGTCTATCAAGGAGAAGCAGTAAAGGTATGCCAGTTCTTCATATGGCCAAGCCAACTTTTACAATTTGTGTTTAAAACATTTTATTAACTTTATGTTATGAATAATATTAATGACATATCTGAAACGCGTCTATTTTGTCATAAGGATTATCTGTAAATGTGTAATTTCATTAAATACAATTTTTTCTCAGTTGCTTTCAGTAAATTTATTGGTATAATGTAATAGTTAATGCAAATTAGTGTAATAAAGAAAGTAAGTTATTGTAATCATTGCAAAGAGGATTCATTTAGCAGCAAAACTCTTAGGTACCTATTTTGTTTTTGAGCTTTTTTTAATGAAACTATATGTCACAATGCTTAAACAGTTACATGTTTTCCTATGAAAACGTATTAATTAGCAAATTGTGCATGAAAACTGAAGCGAGAGAGGAACAATAGATATTTCATGTGTTCTATTTTCGTTGATGCTACTAAACTGCGAACGTCTCACACAAAATAGTATTATTCCCCTGCTTTTAACTGTTAGTCTGTACTTTCTGTCTGATGTCTTTATAATATTTCTCTCTTTTTGGTCTGTGCTGAACGTAGAGGAACTGTCTGAAGTTTGGAGTGACTTATCTCCGAGTTCCTAGTAGATAACGTACGAGTAGTTAGTCCAGAGATGGGTTAAAATACCCTTTATTCACTCAACGAAATATTTGCAGACGGCTCCTTCTCAGGCGTACAGGAAAGTCTCCATTTGGGCTTCAAATCAAGATACGAAAAATAAGAAATTAATCTAATACTAAACTAAACTTACTTAGCCGAAGCTAGACACAAATACCTAGCTTAGTTGGCCCTTAATTTAACCTAGCCGTAAATTATCAACAGGCACGTACAATGCGGCCGAGCTTAGGAGATTAAATAAGGAAGTAGTCTGAAGGCAAACACACGCCACTAAGCAATTCCAAGCTGAAGCTGGGAATGGGACTATTCGCCGTGGCCGTTTTGTCGTGACCGTTTCGACATGGCCGTTTCGACGTCGGGACGTTTCGCCGTCAATACATATTGTTCTTTACATGACTGTACTATATCTTGCCTTATTATATTAAGTAGTAAACTCGTAATAAGAATTAGTAAACTAACTCAACTTATTGTATTAAGTTGATTTAGTTTACCAATTCTGTTTACCTATCATATATTTAAGAAATACCTTTTTATATGCCTATATTATATATTGCCATATTATATTATTAAGTCTATTTAATTTAATAATTTTGTTTACCTATTGTATGCCTCTGGCTGTCTTAAATTTTAAAAGAAAAAAAAAACCTTTTGCAATTAAACACCTCTTCTAGAATTACTAAAATATTACTTAGAATTAATGACTTTTCTGCCGGAAAAGAATTTATTTGGAAGGATTTTTCTCGGTTTTATAATTAGGTGTATTGTATGCATATAATAGTGTTACAATAAAAGCATTAGGTCATTAACGCTTCAAAAACGGTGGTCGAAAAATTGTTCAAAATTGCAGTACCTCAAAAAACGGCTCCGACCGAAATATCGGCCAGAGAATAAATAATACGACAAGATATAATAGAGTTGTGTGACGAAAAGTCCCAGACCCTTCCAAGCTCTCTCTCTCGAAGTAAGGTGAACCTTCCTTAAATACTTCTTCTAACTCATTTGCATACAATGCGACACCAAAAACTTAATCTGGCAAAGAGTAATAGATGGGAAGCGAGAATAGACAGTAAAGTATGTTTAAACTTAAAATAACTGTTAAAAACTTAAATTAACTTCTACGTCTTTCCTTAAACATATTTGTTCTTACGATAATTATTTCATATGTTATTATTGTGTCTTTCAAATATTCGAAGACCTTTAAGTTGATTTATAACATAATTAATGTCTTCTTGTTAATGCATTTCTGTTTTACAGCATTCAAAATCTTGAAAATGTCTAAATGAAGTTAGATGGGAAGGAAATAAATATTAATTATAAAAGAAAAACGTAAATGTTTCAGATAACTTTGAAAGAACTGATAACTTTTGACCAAAAATCTGAAGATCTCAGTGCCGTGCTTCTATGAAAGTGCACCATATAACCAAAAAGAACATTTTGATAAGTTTAAAAAATATCACATCGGAAAAGAAAATTATTATTATTGATGCGTCAGAATTTGCGGTAATTGAGTACTAGATCCATTTTCCAAATTTGTATTAAAAATAAGGGCATTGAAGCGTATTTAATTAAACGCATCCTATTAATGACACTCAAAATCTTGCGAAATTTATAAAGTAAGTAATAAAGGGACAAAATATATATCTCAGAATCGTAAGGAGGGGTAAATGAAAAATTGTTTAAAGAAGTATCATGGAATGAAACTTTTAATAGAAATAAGTTAATATGAAAGCAAAGAAGCAAAAAATTAAATAAAAGTTGATAATTCTTTCATATTTTTTTTTCAAAAAGCAGCCATAATATTATCAACAGAGCTACGTTTCTGAGTTATTTTAATCATTTCAGAAGCACACAAAAAAGTAATTTAAATTATTCATTTAATACTAAGAAACTAAGAATGTTAGGAAAATAATTGGAGAAAGACAATGAATAAGTAATTTATTGTTTTCCTTCAGTTATTTTCTTACTATTTTTTTTTTTTTTTGTTTAAATTATATCTAATTTTACTTGTATTAGGTGTATATTTTCTTTCCTGTCATGTTGGGGTAGGTTATACCTCGACAAATGCTTTCTGGGAAAAAAATAATTAAACTTTTTTTTAAAAAAAAATCTTTAAATTTTTTAAAAATATGTTCTGATTTAATTATTTTTGTTTTAAATTTAAAAGATAATTTCATTTAGTTATTTTTCTTTTGCAATTGATTGAGATATAATTCAGAAATGCTGTGCTGCTAACAATTGTTTCTGCTGTTGCTTGAAAAAGACCAAGAATTTGTCAATATTACTGATTAAGACACAATAACACGCCGAACAAATACTAATTCAGAAGTCAAACAACAAAAATCGGCGTTATAGTTTCAAATAACGCTGAAAATATAACGCTGATTAGCTAGGTTCAGCAATACCTCAATTACCTGTAGTACTACGGAGGTGCTGGCCTAGCTTCTACCTGTACCTGTTTGACTTCTGAATTAACATTACCGATATCATATGATTTTTTTTTTTTTTTTTTGTTTTTTGTTTTTGTACCAAATTATTCTTATTTAATCCCCCCTAAGTTTTTGCTTCATATGATTTTTACTTTATGCCTTTCTTTTCGATAGCTTACCATTCTTAAATAATATACTTTCGATATGATTTTTATCTCTTTGTTGCATACATATACACCTACACACATGTATATATATATATATATATATATATATATATACGTGCATTTAACGATCACTCTTATTTGACGTATATTTTATACATTTTGTAAATTATAGTAAACATATTGTAATCACATGCTTATAAAAATTAACCTGATAATTTGGATTAAAAGCTTTACTTTGGAACCTTAAATAGTCAAAAGCAAAGCGGTTCTCAAAATGGATTATATACAAGTTGAATTCTGATTACAATAATATTTCAGATTTGGTGAAGTGCAAGTTATGGGTTTAATATCTCTCAAAAAACTTCATTTGATAAACTTTACATGCATATAATAATGACCGTAAAATACGTTTCCTGTAAAAAACCTATTATACAAAAAAGAAAAATTCATTGACTTACTACTTATTCATTGACTTAAAGAGGGACATAAAATTTAGTCTTCTTAAATTTTATGTCCCTCTTTAAAATTTGTTCTCATATTTCCTTCTGTTTAACGACTAATTTATTTTACGTTTTATTTTTAACCATTAAACAATTAAAATGAAGTATTTCATTTTTGGAACACGAAGGCAAACTTAGCCAATAGTTCTTTCGTTTCTTTTCAACAAGTTTTCTCATATTATTAAAAGAATAGGAATTTTTCTTTTAAACAGAAAATTTTATTAATATATTATTGTTGAAATTCAAGAGAATTCTCGTATTATCTGTAAAACTGGAGTTTAATAAAGGTACGCCTACCCAAATGACAGTATATCAAGAATTACTGGGTTAGGCTGAATCGGAATTCCTCTGTGAAGGGAACAGGCCCTAGTGATGATTGATCCGAATTCGATAATGTTGTAATCAACCTCCCTGGTGCGCAGAAAACAGCAGCACATAAATAGCAGTTCTTGTAAACATAAAAGACCATGAAGCCCTATGTTCATCTTTCCCAGGATGAAGTTGAGCCTCAGCTTGTTTCAAATGAATATTACAACGCTCGTCGACGTAGGGCTAATCTAGAGGATGATTTTCTGGAGAATAAGGGTATTTTTCCGATGGAATGACCAGCCAGATCTCCTGACTTACACCATAGAGAGCATTTCTCGGTCGCCTTTGTAAACACAATTGCATCTGACCTTTCCCTTCCCTCAGACGTCAAAGACCAAAAGACAGCGTTGCCGCCTGAATGGAAATGAATGTCACAGGATCTTATAAATGGCCTCATTTCTAGTATAAAATCACGTTGTTAGAGCTGTGTGACTGTTAGAAGGATCCATACCCCTTTTAACAGTCTCCTTTATTCGATCTTCTCACTTCTGTTATAGGCCTTCTTGCTCCGATAACCTTTATGTACCACCATGCATGTGTTATATGGTCACGCTTGTTATATAATACACTATTTTATATTATATCAATTTACGATAATATAAAATTGCATTAAAAGCTGTAAATCAGTTTTGAATAGAATCGAACAAATATGATTTTTTTTAATTGACATACATGCGTTTATGAATATAGGTATGGTGTTAAAATTATCCTTTTTTTAATTCTAGAATGCCTTTCTGCTCAATTAATTTTCGTTTCGTTACTGTACAATTTATGAATGTGTACGATAATGTTATGCATACGATAACAAAATCATCTTTTATGTTTTATTCCTAGATTCACTTTCTGCTCAAGGGAATGAAAAGTAAGTGCAAAACTAATTTTTCTGTTTGCTTAAATTTAATTTCATTCTTCTGTAGAGACATTAAGTAATTGTAAAAGCTGGAGAGATGAAAAATTAACAGTGCCTTCGCCGGGAATTGAACCACGGACCTCTGGAATACCGGCCCAGCGTGCAGAACCACTACACCACGAAGGCATGCCAAGTAGGTGGGAGTAATATCTTATACTTCCAAATAAAAATATTAGCGTTTGATATTTGGAACGTATTTCTAACGATGAAGTAGTGTAGCAGAGTGCTAGGGATATAACATTTATTTTCTTATAGGTAAAAATTAGATCTAATTTGTTTAAATGTTCGAAGGCAAAAACTGCACACTTCATTTTAGAAACGCATTTTGTATGAATAAATTGATCTAAAATAGTTGTAAATATGGTCTGTTTCAAGAAAACGATAAATTATAAAACCTACGTGCTCCATTGATCAAATGCCCATATCACTGTGCTTTTATTCTTTAAAATGTGCATTATACATTTAGCTCTTTTAATATGGCTTACATATTATTTAAAACTGTGTGTAAATAATTCATAAATAATTATTACTTCCTGAAATTGTTTTGTTTTCCTTCTTTACTTTTCTTTTTATAACACGAAGTCCTACATTTCCCTTCTTATTGTCCGAATTTTTATTTCCTAGTGCAAGAATGTTTAAGTAACAAAAGAAAATGCCAGATAATGAGTCTCTAAACGGCAATAATTTGACTGATATTGCAAGCCATTCATCAACTTTCGTCTTTACCTTCTTCAAAACGGAAATTTGCATGATTTTATTTCCATAACTGAAGAAGGAAAAATAAATTTTGGGAAATAAATTCTGCTTATGTGCCAACAAATTTCAGTCTGTCTGTCTCATTTACATGAAATAATTTAAACAATAAGTGAATAATGGATAAATTTATTTAAAATAAGCAATGTAAGAGGTTGTATAAATAAACTTATTTAAAAACTACGGGTTTTACTTCTGAGAAACATGCTTCACCTTTATTTAAACTCTGCGGTTAAAAGCTAATAATCGAATCTACTCTAATAGGACAGAAGCCGAGATGTTTCTGGAAGATTAAAAAGTGGTAGTACATGATTTTGTCACTTACCGAGATATGGTATTAAATACATCGACAAATACCGAGATGCGATATTAAATATTTCTTAAAAAGGGATCACTGCGAAGAAACAATTATCGAAGCTTTCCAGTGTGAGTTTAAGAATATGCAAAAATTTGACAATTAACTTAATTCAAAGGAAACAATGCAGAGTTTCGACTCATATATTTGAAGCAGCTTATCTCTTAGAATTTTTTTTTAATTTCGTTAGTTTTGGTTATCTATATATGTCAAAGGAAACTTAAGCTGTTTAAATAACTGGATGGATGGTTTCATGGAGAGCTTTCTAAGGCTAAGTAACTTTATTCGCGTAACATATAGAGATTTAACATAAACACCAATCATGTAGCCAAACCTTTTGCATAGAATCGAGCTCACAAAGTTCAGAAGTCTTAACTTTTAATTTTATTTTTATATTTGAAATTTTAGCCCAAAGGCCGTTAGCTCAGAAGAGTTATTAATTTCGATTTGGTATTTTGTGGCGTTTATCTATAAACGGTGTTTCACTTTTCAAATTGTTGCCACCGAATATTATCATCCTGCATTATATTTAAAGAATTTAAATAATGATGAATATGCATGTATGCATGTATATCTCTCGCATTGTGAAAAAATATCGGTACCTAAAGACATCAAATTTTAAATAAATAGTCCTCCGCTCGAATATGGGCATCTGGAAGCCCAAATTTGGAATGCGGAATTTATTTTATTATCCATTTCATATTTTGTAAAACTTTAACGAATTTTTTAATTAACAAGCTCAACGATTTCAAACAAGCAATGGTAACACTGTAAGGAAAAAAAAAACATTTCTATGTCCAGCGCGCGAGACTGTGTATCGGAAATTCTAAAGATATGCTCTTCTTAAATTATTTTGTGATATTCTATTAAATTAAATTTTACAGTTTAAATGCGAAGAACATGATATTTATTAAATAAAGGTAACACACAAAACGTTAAAAAAATGCCCCTTTGGGCGTAATATAAAATCTGAAAGCTATCAGAATTTTGTTTTTTTCATTTTTATTTTTTATATTTTATTATACAGCATTAAATCATGTTTCACACGAGGCAAACGCTTCCAAAGAAATTCGTATAGCTCTAAACCCGAATGATTTTCCAAGTAACGCTTAAACGCGGTGAGAAATTTTCAATTTTTAACAAAGCACAATCACTTACGTTAAAGTGTAATGAGATTTTTGCTGAAAGGTGAACTGACGTAAGCCTTGATAATTAAGATATTACTTCAAATGGCCTCTTCAAATTGTTCTTCGCTTGATGATCTTCGAGGAGAGAACCATATCGGCTTTTATTGAAGTAACGCAAAGTATTAAGATAATAGTTTATTGCTTAATGGATCATGAACTAAAAATTGTAATTACTTTAAGAAGTGAAATTATTCAAACTCACATTTCGACCTTTTGTATCTTTCTTTTAGCGTTCTACAATAGTAATAGGCAACTCATGTCTATAACTTGGATTATCTACATAAAAATAAGTATGTCACTAACAGAGATGATAAGCCATTAATGGATTTAGATCTGTAGCACAAGCAAATGAAAAATGTTGTTTAAACATGCCGAAATCGAGTGACAGCTTGAAGGTAATACATTAAAAAAAGTTAAATGTTAGTGCTATGAATAAAAGATAATTTTATACAAATATTTTTTCCTTATCGCTATCTTTATACATTAATTTCTGTACATGTTTAATCTAGTTATTTCATGGAATGTCAGTACTCTTGTTGAAAATAGTGTTAATGTCAGTAGCCTTACCATAAAATTTCCAAAGTGGGATATTTTTCTTAAGCAACAGCTAGCGTTCTAGCAAAAGCGTAATGTAATCCGTGCAACAAGCGATCATTTACTCTTTTTAAAAGGAGGAGAAAACCACTTTATTTTAGTGACATGAAAATTTTTATACGCCATATCATTTTTCGGATAAAGAGTCTGTTCATATGATAGGATAATTTTTTTTCCTCCTTATATTTTCCCATACATTTTGATCTGCGTAAGCATTTCCTTTGCCAAAGAGCAATTTAATTTAAAATTTGCTTTACAAACTTCGAACGAAATGTTAACACATTTTTTGCTAAAATCGACATGATGAATTTAATATTTTGGCGGGAGTATTAGTTTGAGATGAACAAGTTAAAAGTTTTGACTGCTTACATATTTTTTCAGTTCTTAATTTTAGAAGCATAACTTCTTTCTGTATTAAATCTGTTATTCTAGACTTTTAAGTCATGAAGTCCGGAACTTCTGAATTCTGGATATGTAAATTCTGCATACAAATTTATGTAACCGCGAATAGGTAAAATTTATACTTTCCATTTAACATAGCACTATTTGGAGATTAGCAAGCTTCTCTGTTAAAAAAATAACACGGTGCTTTACAAATATTTCATTTCAAGCTTTTATCAGCATATACAGGGTCAGTGATAAACTGGTAATTTATGATAGAAATTTTGAAAACAGGAAAAATGTTAAAAATTTAACAAAAAGTATACTGCCTGACGCACAAACAGGCATATATTGATAAAGAGAAAGGCAAACAGATATATAGACTGATAAGGTTGGGTTAGTTTACGTTATTCTTGGGATATGTCAAAGCACACAAGGACTATCTATCTAAGGAGAGTGATGCCTTTGTGGAGGATATTTCTAAGCGAATTTGCTTCATATTCACGTTACATAAACAGACTGATGATATAAACTGCTTTGAATTATTTTAATTGTTGCAGAGCATGTAAGAGCTAAAAATAAGTTATTAAAATACAATAATCAACTAAATAATATTATTTTCTTAGTGCCAATCATTGCAAAAGCAATATTTTCTTCATCTTTTTGTTGTTTATGACAAGTTATGTGTAAACAAAGGTTACGGAAAATGTAAATGTAAAGGTGTAAATTGCAGCACACTGTGGTTGGGCACACTATATGAATAAAATGGAAATAACGGATTGTTTACTTGTATGCAGAATTAGATGCATCTTAGTAGTCGAAAAGTGATTCCTCTTGACATATATTTTTATTTAGATGTCTCCAAGATTAATATTTTTTTCAGAAGTTCTGTAACCTACCATAAGTAAGATTATTAAAATGGCTAAGATAAAATAAGAATTTTTAGTAAAATTTTTCATTACAATTACAAATATTTATCGCCCAAATATCTGAAATTTAAAATTTAGGTATTTCAACAAAGGACAATTTTAAACTTGTTTTTCGGGAGCTGCATTACGTTACTGACCCCTGCTCTAGACTGTATCAGTATCACGAAGTGGCGTAGGAAAAACTTGGTCGTTGAAATAGGCCTTCTGCCCCAATACATGAACGCTGTTCGCAGTCTCATCACTCATAGTAGGCTTTCGTCTTCTTGGATTTGTGCCAAGTAGGCGATACACATAGTATATTTACAAGGTGAATTTCTTAATATTATATGTGAAATAAATCTAAAAATACAGTGTTTTGAAATTAAATGAAACATTTATAGTAGCCCTGAGTTTCATTCTTCTTCTTTTAACATATGAAAGAAAGCGCAGTTTCAGTAATGATCTTCAAACATTGCACGTAAGATTAGATTTAAATGACTTATCATGTCGTAAACAAATATATCTGATCTAAGTCCATAGCAATAAATATATGTAAAAGCATACATTCGTCAATAGTGGCCAGAATCACCAATGCTTCATTTTATTTAAAACATTTAGTGCCAATTCCTGTTGCTGTTAACGTTTGAAGGATTGAGTCCCTTCTACAAATTTCCCTTCTGCTGTTGATGGATAATGTAGTATTTTTATGATACCATGTAGAGTCATTAGATTAATTTGATGCTGTAGACTTGAAAATCGAGCAACCCTGTGAAT